ATGATAATAATTTTCATGTTGATGAAGGCTTCTGAACTAAGCTGAGACAACAAAGGGAGCTCATTAAAATTCCTGAGTAAATGTGAAACAGGTGCCACTTGTTGAAGGAAAATAAAATTAATCCTCTAAACAAATGCTGCTGGGTACTTAGAGGGTGCACCCTGATCACAAGTGTAGATAATGGTCAATTTAGACCAATTTGGTTCCTGATTAACAAACCTTTGTCAGATGCTACAATTTATGTGTCATACAGACCCAGTTTCTACAAGATCACACACACACACACACACACACACACACATATACACACACATACATACACACACATACACACACATATACACACACACATATACACATACAAACACACACACATATATACACACACATACACACATGTGTACACACACATATATACACACATACACACACATGTGTACACACACACATATATACACACACATACACACACAAACACACACATATACACACATGTACACACACATATATACACACATATACACACATGCGTACACACACATATACACACACACATATACACACACAAACACATACACACACACGTGTACACACACATATACACACATACACACACAAACACACACATACACACACAAACACACACATATACACACACACATATACACATACAAACACACACACACATACACACACATATATACACACACATATACACACGCATACACACACATGTGTACACACACATATATACACACATACACACACATGTGTACACACACATACACACACACACACTCCACTCTTTCACCTGTGGTCCTCTCTAGCTCATGTGACATTCTTTTTGATATAGAGAGATTTGACAAATAAAATGAGTTCCCAGGTCTAATAAGTGCTGCAATGAATTCAGAGGTATGGACTAGGACCCTCTTTTCTATTAGGCCTATAGGTGTTTTCAGAATTTTAGGCAATGATACTAAAGAAAAAAATAATAAAATAAAATACCAGGCTTATTGCCTCTATAACTGGTTTCTGGGCCGTGTAGATATAACTATACAAAAAGAATACATGTATTCAACTAATGAATAAATTAAAAATGATGGCAAGCTCCCAAATCTCCATGAAATTAATGGGTTTTGTGTGTGTGTTTAGAAATATTTGTGATTCTTTGTCGATTTTTTCATGTTACAAATCATTTATGAATAAATAGCAAAGAGAAAAAAAACAAAGAACATGTTTTTCCTGAAGTACTGTGATAAATGCCATTCCTTAATTGTCACCCCGAGTTTTCTTTTAATAAAAGTAAAAAAATGTCCCATTCTGATAGCGATGTGTTCAGTCCATTCTCCTCACTTCCCCTGTCTGCCATCTACCTCCTCTTCTCTTCCTCTTCCTTCTTTTTCTCTCTCCTCCTCCCTCTCTCAACATAAAAACTTCTCCCATAGAGAAAGCAGCAGAGAAAATAGAAAACCCAGCTTTGACTTCTGTGCAGATTGGAGAAATTTGTCCATCTTCAATACATAGAGTTTAACAGACTCCAGTAAAGAAAATGACTAAGAAGGGTTCTATTCTAGCCATTTTAATTTAAACAAAACCACAACAAAACCCTACACAAACAGTGATTGGAGAGAGCAGTTGTGGAGTCATTGGATGTGTGCCACTGGTTGGGAGCCTCCAGTTCCGATCTGCCATCCTTTGTGAAAAGCCATTTCCACAAAGCTGAAATCACCTTTAATGTTCAGTGTTGTCTGCATAGTGTCTAGTTTAAACTAAAGCCACTAATGAGTTGGCAAGAATATGTCCTTAGTTTTACAAATCTCTGCAGGTTTTAATAGTTACCTTTTCCACTACTAAGCATGTGGATTTGTGTCTATTTCTAGGAACTTAACTTTGCAATTTCTTTTTATTTTGTGTTTTAGGAAAAACTTTCTCTGCCCCTACTAACTTAAAATATAATTAGTATTTAATGATCCCATGTAGTTACATAAGTATGCCTTGCATAAACATATTTGGGAATGGATTGCTGACTCCCATATGATATGGTCTATGGCATTCATTCTTTGTCCACCTACCCCATATTTCACTGAAGAAAAGGATTAGGAGAGTGTATTCTGAGTTAATGTTGACCCAAACTTCAACAATGTATCTATGGAATGGGCCAATGCAAGATTCTTAAGAAAATATTCAGAACAATATTTTAAATGTATTTCTTTGTACTTCTTTTTACATCTCAAATAATACCAAAAGAAAGAAATATCATTAAATGGTTTATTTAAAATTTTCTGTAGTTGATCTACCTGCATGTTAAATTAAGATAAAATTATTTATCTTCCCCCCCTCTCCATCTCCAAACACATAACTATTTTTCTGACATTACCTTCAGGCCCTCCTTCAGATTTAAATGTCAAAGTGCAGCTATATGGCACACCAAAAGCAAACAGACTTTTCCCTTGTCTTAACACATGCAATGCACCAAAGGAGATTAGTTCTGCAGCTCAGTCCTAAAACTGTTAACTCAGCTTCTCCCACCCCTCTTGAGAAATTGTCTACTATGATACTTCTTCACTTGAAAGAATAAAAATAAAATAACTGTTATGTTAGCTCTCTATTTATACTTAAAAGTGATATTACTTTGGAATCACATCACAGTGCCATGACAACAGGCTTGAACAAAGGTTTGCCTAGACCAGCATTTCGGTGGGTCAAGACCCCTTTGGGAGTTGAATGACCCTTTCACAGGCATCACCTAAAACCATTGGAAAACACAGATATTTCCATTATGACTCATAACAGTAGCAAAATTACAGTAATGAAGTAGCCACAATAATAATTCTATGATTGGAGGTGTCATTCCAACAAGAGGAACTGTATAAAATGGTCACAGCATTAGGAAGGTTGAGAAGAACCATTGGCCTAGACATATGAAATGGTTAAGTCACTGAACTGATGTCTTTGTGGCAGAAGATCATGGATTAAATAATCAAGTTAAAGAAAAAAACTCCCCCTTGACCTTTTTGTAATGCAAAATCTCAGCTCTTATCTTAAAGGGGAAAAGAGTGTATTTTGGAGTCTAACATGCATGACCAGGCCCAAGAACAGACTTATATTACTCAAAATTTCATGTTCTAACATGGTAATACTTTGACTATTTTATAGTGACAGCACAAGAAAGTCATAAATTAAAGCACTTTTCAAATATATTGTTGGAAATATTAGTTAGGTGGCTCACAGCAAAGCAAGGAAAACGCTGTTCTGGGCTTCAGATGCTATCTACCACTTTTTCTTTAGCTCTTTGGATGGTTGGAAACGAGGATTTGTTCAAACATCCTAAATGAAATTTCGAATGGTCACAAAGATGCCAGGTCACATACAAAGAATGGCAATAAATAACTATTACAGGGTCTAAAGATACATGATAGTCTAGCTGTGCCTTGTAACATCCACTGTTCTCCACACTAATGGAATTCTAAACTAGTTCACAGGCCTTGCAGAAAGGGAAAGCCCAGTGGAAGCTGTGGGGTTCTTTCTGGGAACTTCATTTATGACTTCTAAACAAAATGGCCTTGGTGGAAAGCCTGAGATTGGCATAGCAGGCTAAAAGAGGTCATATGGAGAGCTGTACATCCATACTAGAAATAATTCTTATGGAGTAGAGGAAACAGGGCTTCTTAGAGACCTTCTAGTGGTTTTATTTGTTCATAATTAAGAAGGATCTTAGCTTTTTGCAATATAAAAACCAGTAAGATAGAAAATAAAGAAAGGCAAAGTGTGTTAGTGAATTAGATAGAAATGTGCACAATCTATTTCAGGACCCACCTCCTGCTTCCCCAGTCACACTCTAATTTTAAGGAAGGGGAAAGCATTACAGTCTCCCTATCTACAGACTTAAAATTCCATACTGCAGCAGGAGGGGGTCATCTAGCTTAGCATATTAAAAAAACCAACAGCACAGAAGATTGGTCCCCACAAATGCACACTAAAGGCTACATGCAGAGAAGGAGCTAGTGTGAGAAAAGTTACAATGCACAGGTGCTATGGAGATGACCCTACAGCGTCTGGACCCCCCTCTAGCCCTGTGCCATTTAGCTTCCAAATTGTTTGCCAACTCTTTGGTCCACTGCCTTGCTTGGAAGTGTGAATGCAAGCTCCTGAAAAGCAGCTTTGTCTGCAGATCCTGACTGGGTAGAATTTCAGCACTGTGGGGAGACTGAAATGCTGCAGGTCCAGAGACCAATTACCTATCTTTAGTCCCCCAAACCGTCATTTCTTACCTACCTCTGTGTCAAGACAGATATCCTATACCTAATAAATGAAATCCTTCAGAATTTATTGACTTAGCAGACCCACTGGCCTCCATCAACTTCAAAGCTAAGAATGTCACCAGACAACATTTGGGGACTGTAGGAAAGCTTTTGCCATCTCACTGTACCCGCCTCTCTCATGTACCCACCAAAGCATTTCAAACTTGCCCTGACTTGTAACTTGACTTCTTTTGTTCTGTCAAACTGTAAAACTTCATGAAACTTCCTCCACATTGGAACATGAAATTTGAGATAACTTAAACCAGCATTCCCAAGCCATGGTCATTCAAAATGGCTCCAGAATAAACTCTCTCTTGATCCCTTTAAGGAGAGAGCTGTGGTTTTGTTTCATTTTTTTGTTTGTTTGTTTGTTTGTTTGTTTGTTTGTTTTGTTTGTTTTCGTTTTTTAAGACAGGGTTTCTCCGTGTAGTTTTGGTGCCTGTCCTGGATCTCGCTCTGTAGACCAGGCTGGCCCCAAACTCACAGAGATCTGCCTGGCTCTGCCTCCTGAGTGCTGGGGTTAAAGGCGTGCGCCACCACCGCCCAGTGTGAGAGCTGTGGTTTTTGTATTGACAGATGTGTGCCCTTTGTTAGTAAACTGCCTGTTTGTTCAACTATCTTCATGTCCTGTCCCTGGCTCACTGCTGTGTTTGAGAACAGAAATCCCACCTCAGTATCTGCCTATGCAATGTAAAATGAATCTCTTCTCGGCCTTTTGGCTAAGATCAAGTGTAGCAATGTAAAATGAAGGAAGTGGAGGAACAAGGCTTGGTTGACTGCTGTTTAGGGAAGTTATTTATCCCTACTAACGTTTGGCTATTGTAGAGATTGATTTTTCTTGAATTCTTTTTAATCTACTCTGTTAGATAATTCTTTGTCAAATGAGTGTGATCTGAATCATATCTCTGGCCCTCCATAGAGATATGATTTTCTAAATTACCAAGATTTTAAGTTCACTATCCAGCAGGAGGCTTTCGGGCAAAGAAGAAAGATACAATGGTCCTCTCCCTTAAGAATCAGTCTAAGTAGACCTGCCAGTCATCTGTATAAGAAAATGTCCCGCCGGGCGGTGGTAGTGGTGGTGGTGGTGGTGGTGGTGGTGGTGGTGGCGGTGGCGGTGGTGGTGGTGG